ATATTGAAGTTGGTTGCGTATTCAATTTGTAAGTTTGTTTGAAATAATATATATTGCTTGGGTGAGAATTATTGCCACACTGATATTATATTAACAAAAAATTTAACGTTAAGTCTGAAATATGAAATTTCTTGGCGTCAAGTTGAAATTTTTGCTTTCCTCACTGACTAGGATGAATAATGTAGGATTTTGATCCTATAACTTCGCTTATTCAAATGTTTAAATCGAAATAACAATAGTGTGAGCTAGATATACTTGATAACAAAGTACTTCGCATATTAAAAAACGTGGCGAGATTGTCTTACGGCAAAAATCCTATACGGCAATGTTTTCTACGGCGAAATTTCCTGAGGGGAGTTTTCCTATGGCAAGAATGTTTACGGCGAATGTTTCTAGAATCCTTTTTTGCGGAAGGAGAACAAGATGATTGTGAGGACAGTGATGATATCAAAGATGACAAAATCTACACTTTGAAAGCTGAAACAAACTAAAATATACCTAATGCCCGAATATTTGTTTTTATTATTTTATTATTGATTAATTATAAATTTGGGAAAATATGTATTGATATATTTGGAAGAAATCCTTACCCAGAGAATTTTTACATTCATTGTTAGGTAGATCTTACATATAACTTTCGGTCATCTCCCGAATATGGTAATATGTGGGTTCTGTTGTTTTTCTTTTTTAAAAAACTTTCTTAAAATGCAAGGCTAAAGAGCCACTCAGAGTAGAGGGTTACTATGATGTGAATGTAAGAGGAAGTACTACGCAGGGAAGATTGTATATATGAAGAATAAATAACGATTGACTCTTGATGTGAAACGGTTAAGATTGTAGTGTTCGAGAAAGAATTCACTGGGGAATTTGTCCCCTAAGTAGCGGTTGCTATGTATATATGGTGAAATAGCGCGAAGGCATTCTAACCTACCCGTGTCTAAGAGGCCATGATGCCTCGCCTGCCAATTTGGAACCGGCATTTGCAATTTAGGTAAAGCGCATGCATGGTACGAGAGATTTTAAAGCTATCGCTAATCTGCATGCGTGGTCAAAAACCTGAATAAAAGGTGAGCTACAAGATGAGCAGAGAAGGGTCTACAGAACTTGAGAGAGAGCGAGAGAGAAAGAGAGAGAGAGAAAGGAAGGAAGGAAGGAAGGAAGGAAGGAAGGAAGGAAGGAAACAAACAAACAAACAAAACAAAACTTCCCGTCGATGTAGATGCTTCCGCTGTAGTTTCTCTTCCGTGCCGGAGGCCTTCTCTCCCACCTCCTCGATCTTGTCCCGTAACATCTGTGTGACTGGCTATGAAAAGCTAAGACCAGCGGCGTGAGTGTTTCCACTCAGGTCCCCACGTTAAAAACCGACCTTGTGTCACAATCTGTTCAGTGACCGAGGACGGGGGTGGTCAAGGTAAATCCCGGGTCTACAGAAATTGGCCGGACTCGTTGCAACTAACAACTGCATCATTCCAACTCTTGAGCTTAAAAAATCGAAAATCAAATAAAAAATGCAAAGAAGCTATAAGTGGAGTCGTTCAATGTAAACTTACAATCACTGTCTACACTCTCCAATCTTTAAATATTCATAGACAAGCAATATATAAAATGTGATAAGCATTTTTTTAATTATTTTATTTTATTTTATTTACTTATTTTAACTACATTTTCATTAGATTCGTTATAAAATTTGAAAATAAAGTTGATATGTGCACTTATCACGATTTATAAATGCGGGTAGAACGTACCATATAGAAGATGGCTTGCTCTTAGGTTTGATTCAGTTAAATCGTTCAAAAGCAACTCTTAATAGGACGCGGAAGAGGTTTAGTAGTCTACTAGAATGGGGAGGAATAGACATAAAGAGATAGTGTTACGAGGTTTGGTTATTCTAGTGACATCATTCCAAGTAGGCATACAAGCGAATATTAAATCACCTAGAGATTATATTTAATGTTTTTTCATGTCTTCTCACTTTGCGTTCACAAGCACATGTTGTATCCAGATTTAACAAAAGTGAAGAATATAAAAAAAAAATCTTCTGTAAATTTAAGACTAGATATTATCGTTCTAAAAGTTGTTCGGATCAGTGATCTAATTCTTTCTGCTGTTGTAAAAATCTATCCATCTTAATCCGTTCCTATCTGTCTTACATTCTGTAAGTGTAAACTGAGTCATTATCATACGAAGAGTTGTTTAGATCAACATTTTTCAAACTTTTTTTTTCTGCGACCCGCAACAAGAACCACATTTTGCATTGCGATCTATTATACTTACGTGTATTAAATCAAGACAAACTTGGTTCACTAGGACTATTTATTTAGCATCAACAATTTATTTCTTATGATCCTCATATATTGGAATTGCAAGGATCTATTTGTATTATCTATTTCTATGAATATAAAATTATTACTCTTAGAAAAACATTTTTAAAAGAAATTCCGATCCAAAGTTAAGTAAATAATATTTGAGAAAAATGTTATTTAAAGAGATGGATTTGATTGTTTGTTCATAAGCAGCTGATTCCAATTGGGAACACAAGAAGACAATGCTACACGCATATCAGGTGCAGTGTTGTGCCTGTTCTGTCCTTCGTCTTAAATTGCCGTCCCTGGTATGACGATAAACTACATTCGAGTCCTGGGTAAGGCGTTAAACTACGTTCAACCGCAAGGCCTCTGATCAGGAGCGTGCTAACACCTCTTAATAACTGGTGATCCCAGGTCCACCCTGACCCGTGTTGGTAGCACCTGTTAGGTTTCCAGCAATGGGCAAATAATTAACCTCCATACTGCGGTCAAAACACTATGAAAGTGTAAAAATAAGTTTTAATACCAGAAATACTTTGTAAAAAAAAGTTATTACCAGCAATAAGTTTTTGAAGAAAAAAATTACCAGCAACATTTTTAAAAAAAATAAATAATTACAAACGATATACAAACAGTGAACTACAGAAATGAATGTCTTGATGGAGAAAATGAACTTTTGTCTATAGTTTTCATTTGTATTTTTTTTTCTTTTAATATATATATATATATATATATATATATATATATATATATATATATATATATATATATATATATACTAGCTGTAAAATTGTGAACTGGGGGAACTAAGGAATGATGCCCGTTTGAATATTTGCAATAAAAATAGCGATAGAGAGGCCGGAATCTAGTAGCGTTTTGTCTGTGAGGAAAGTGGTTGTAGGGTGGAAAAAACTCTCAAGGCCGTGCAAACGGTTTTAAACTCTGATATGACACTAACATGTAAACATAACATGGTATGATTGCAAATGATTTTATTAACTGACGGTCACCGTCAATGATTTTCACATAAACGTGTGTTACTGGTAGAACAGGGCTTTTGAGGTGGTGGTGGTCGTCTCCTGCTCAAAGCCACGTGAACATACCTAGTTTGTGTTACTTTTTATGCCGGGTATTTTTTCAGGGCCTTATTCGATGATATAACAACGTTCTCTTGTCATTACACTTAGCCTAACGTTTCTCCATTAATTCTATAGATCGAAGATGATTTATTGAAAAATTCATGGAACGAAATCTTTAATTCACCCTGAAACGTTAATTCTAGTCTTTCTTTTTTTTCCTGTATTTCGCTATGTATCCTCATATTCCTAAAAAATATATATATATACATAATGATCATTCTGCAGATATTTGGGGTGCACAATGTTTCTACATAAAGCTCTTGTTCTTTCATTGCCTGTTAATTTAAATCTGTTATGTAAGTAAGAGTAGATAATTTTGCAATTTCGTCTATTGTTTCTTGTTTGGTAGTGGGTTTCCGGTTCCTTCTAAAATATTATCTGTCACTCCTAGTAATCCCTTGCGTCTTAGTAGTTTTATCATCTTGCTTTCAGATTGAGGAATCGGAGAGCCAAGTTCAAATTCCAGTCGAATCCATTACATTGACTTACGTACTAATACTCTTGGGAAAGGTATGAATCCTCTTCTTCTCCCTCCAGCTATGGGTAAATAGCAGGGCAGACCGGATTCTTTAGCCTTGGATAGCAACTGGTTTACCGCAGAAAGAAATGGCAACCTACTGTAGGAAAAGAATCCGCCTCGTCAGTCATGTATCGATAGATACATGATCGTCTAAGCGTGTATCACGCATGGCACATAACTGACTGTGGTAAACTTACTTAAAAACAAATATTTGGCGTTGTCCTCATGGAACATCGAAAAAAAAACTTACACTATATGCATATAATAGGACAGTTCACCTTCACATGTATTTTTTAGAAAGCTTGTCCCGCTGGAACAATTACGACTGGGTAGTGAGTTCGATCCTTACTAGGTACCCCATACTTTTAGCCTTATGCCACACCTGAGCTACGTTTAGAAAATCGCCATATATTTGAGGACAAATCATCAAAAACTGACAAACTTCGTATGAAAGCTAACGGGTGACAATACAAATATAAGTGAAGTTAAACGAAAATATATAAAACTATGGAAATAATCTGAATATCAGTGTCGTAACTTGGCTCGCTTCCTTATCCTACTGTGTCTGTAAAACTTTGATATTTTGCTTTGAATCTTTTAGTGCTTATTTCAGTTGTAACTTTACAGTTCTCAGGATGATCAGCTGTTCTAACCACACCGCCAAATTCTCTGGCATAGAATTTAATCTACTTTTCAAGAATAGCTTCTGAAGATTGTTGAGGGAAAAAAAGCAAAAGGAAGGAAAACAAAAGTCAAAAAAAAAAATAAATAAAAGTGAAAGGGATTACTTCATCACTATCAGTTATGGTCGACGATGCCCGAGACGGTAATAACCTCAATAAAGTCTACTTTACCAAAATAGCAGTGCAATAACGCCAAAGCAATCTCGGTGATGTGTCAGCAGGGGTTCAAAAGGAGTCGTTAAGGCCCCAAGATAAACACACACGGGAACTCTCGTGCACGCGAGAAGAACGGCAAAAAGTAAACGAGAATTTGACTGTTGGGCGCTTATCTCGCCTAAACGGTGTACGGCCGATGGAGGCGATATTTACCGATGCTTATCGCAAAGTATCTCGCGGGAGACTTTTAACTTCGTTCATTTCAACAAATCTCTCTCGTTTCGTTTCTTTTCTTTTTTTTTCCCTCCTCCACGTCAATTTTTTTTTTCTCGGTCCGGCATTTTTCCCACTTTCCTTTTTGATTTCTTTCTTTGTAAATTTACACCCTTTTTCATTCTTTTGTTTTCTTTACATGTCTTCCTCTTGTACTATTTTCTATTTTTTGTAAATACCATATCCTAGCAAGAATCGGCAGCCATAGCTTCCAACATCAAAGTTCTATGGAATATATGAATTCCTATGATTTTGTAGGAATGTAGTGGATTGTTTTCTTTTTTTTTTTTGTTAACGTTCTCCATTGTCGATAAGTCAGACTAATCTTTCTTCTAGACAGGCTGCCATCCAAGGTAAGAGATCCAGTTTACACTGTTATTAACTTATAACGGTAGGAGTGTTAACATCATTTCTCAAGGGCCTTGACATAAACGCTTTGAAATTTGCGTGCCCAACTTAATGGTATTATTAAAGTCTCCCAATTACCATGGACTGATATATATTCAGCGAGGAAGTTTTAAATAGATAAACAAAAGGGACGCTTTTGCACAGTATCAGAAAAAAAAACTGTTTAAATATCCGGAAGACCTAGTGGGGAAAGAGGACTTTGTGGTTTTGACACGCGTAAGGCCTGTGAGGAGCAGAGGGTAACAGATGCTTGTGTAAATGGATGACAGACCAATGATTGGGAGGGATAATGTGAAGACAAAAAATGTGAAGAGCTACAAAGGATAGTTAAATGAGGAGAATTAGTATCAACAGGGAACTGAAAGCTCACAGGCCATAAATGAATACTATTTAACTTGTTTTCATCGCTCTATCTTGGAGCAATTTCTTCTTAATTTTATACATTTTATTTTTCACTGTCATTTATTCCAGGTGGCCTCACGTTATCCCATAATTTTCTTTTTCTTATAATTAAGATCTTATTTTTATATCATTCATTTTCTCTCGTTCTTTCCCCTGTTGTTTTTCTCCTCTCTCTCTCTCTCTCTCTCTCTCTCTTTCTTTCTATCTCTCTCTTTCGTTCTTTCTTTTTCTATCTATCTCTCTTCTTTTCACTTTCTCTCTTTCTCGCTTTCTCTTTCTCTCTCTCTCTTTCTCTTTCTCTCTCTTGTTTTCTTTTTTCTCACTATCTCGCTTTCTCTTTCTCTCGCTTTCTCTTTCTCTCGCTTTCTCTTTCTCCCTCTCTTTCCCTAGCTTTTTTTTTCTCTCGCGCTTTCTTTCTTTCTCTTTCTCTCGCTTTCTCTCTCTCTCTCGCTTTCTCTCTCTTTCTCTCACTTTCACTTTCTCTCTCTCTATCTTTCTCTCGCTTTATTTTTTCTCTCGTGCTTTTTCTCTCTCGCATTCTCATTCTCGCTTTCCCTTTTTGTCTCTCTTTCGCTTTCTCTCTCACTTTTCTCTCCCTCTCTAACTCTTTCTCTTCGCGATTTTTCTCTCTCGCTGTCTCTTTCTCTCTCTCTCTCCCTTCCTTTCTCTTTCCTTCTCTCTCGATTTCTCTCTCATTCTCGCTTACACTTTCTCTATCTATCTCTCTGCTTTTCACTTTCTCGCTTTTTCTTTCTTTCTCTCTCTCTCTCTCTCTCACTCTTTCTCTTTCTCTCTCTTTTCTTTTTTCTCACTATCTCGCTTTCTCTTTCTCTCGCTTTCTCTTTCTCTTGCTTTCTCTTTCTCCCTCTCTTTCCCTAGCTTTCTTTTTCTCTCGCGCTTTCTTTCTTTCTCTTTCTCTCTCTCGCTTTCTCTCTCTCGCGCTTTCTCTCTCTCTCTCACTTTCGCTTTCTCTCTCTCTATCTTTCTCTCGCTTTATTTTTTCTCTCGTGCTTTTTCTCTCTCGCATTCTCATTCTCGCTTTCCCTTTTTTTCTCTCTCTTTCGCTTTCTCTCTCACTTTTCTCTCTCTCTCTAACTCTTTCTCTTCGCGATTTTTCTCTCTTGCTGTTTGTCTGTCTGTCTTTCTCGCTTTCTCTTTCTCTCTCTTTCCCTCTCTCGCTTTCTCTTTCTCTCTCCCCCACCCCGCTTGGTGGCGCCACTAAACACGAGACGATCTTGTTCAGTCGCCATATTCTCACATTAGCCTCATATCTCAACTCCTGCAAAGTAAAAGCAACATCCGTATTTGTTGTTATTACGAGTGCAGTGTTTGTGGTTATGTTTTATTTGCTATTATCAGTCATCGTATTAGGTGCGCTGTTTGAGTCAGGCTTCTTAGATTTCGGCTATTTCCACACCTATTTATCTCCTGCATTACTGCTCGGGCTTCTCCTTTCTCTTAATCTTTCTCCATTTCTTTATTACCACTCTCTCTCCGTACAGGAAAAACAGTCATCTAAGCTCTATAGCTTTAGAAAACGCCTCATTTACTCTTAAGGGGCGGGCTTTTCATCTAATGCGTCCGGTTGATTGGTATCAACACGCATTTAATTCGACACTGAGATAAATATTAAAAATCATGCCGATCTTTGCAGAGATATATGGATCCGTATAAATATATTATGCATACAAGCGCACGTGCTCATAAGCAAAAACAGAGAGTGTATATATATATATATATATATATATATATATATAATTTAATTACACACACGTGAGAGAAAGTAGTTTACAGATATATGCTATTTCTCTTACGTTCACATGTTAAGTGCGAATATAGCCACATGTGTAGCTTCCACATATTGGTTATGCATAAAATACATACAGTCGCATGCACACGCACATATATCCATTCATAAGGCTACACACACACGCACGCACACCCACACACACATACACACGTGTAACGTCTTGAAGATCCTCAAAAAAACATAGTGTCAATTTTCCAAAGTATTTATATTTAATGAAATAATTAGACGTTTTATATGAACAATATTGCTTATTTCAAAGAACTTGTTACGGATATTAACCTCCTGTGTCTGTTGCATTTGTTAAGACGACCGTGAAAAGAACTTAACAATAGTAAACCCTTTGAAAATGGCTAAAGAAGTTACCGAAAACACTTGGGACAATATGGACAATTTTTACATTCACTTACTCCAACCAAACGGACAAGTTTTAGAAGGCTTGAAAGAAAGGTTGCTGCCCAAATATACAATAAACAGGGTGTGTCAAAAATACATTTACAAACTTTAGGGGTGGATTTCTCACACCAAATCAAAGACAAAAGTCTGTATAAATAAGTCTGCAAATCCTTCGTTTTTGAGTTATTAACTTTAAAGAAAGTTTACAGTAGATGGCGCTGTGCTACAATTTGGACTAGGTTACATTTGTTAATCTTATAAATTTATGGCTAGTCTGTTTTTAACGTTTAACGTGTGCAATAGTGAGTTAACTGAGAAGTGTTTCGTTTAACAGTGGTAAGACATCTATATCGCTAGCAGGAAGATATGATTTATATAAGGTCGTGCGAATGGTAATGGACGCGAGGCTGTACGGCTGTATCAGATTGCGTTTCCAGACCAAAGACAGCCATGTCATCCAAACTTTGCTGCTGTTTATCGTCCCGTTGCTGAGATGGGATCCATGTTAGCACAAGGTAGAGATCGAGGCTGATCGAGATCCTCTCGTACGCCTGACCAAGAATGATACATTCAACAGTCTGTCGAAGCCGATCCAAGTATGAGCACACATCAAGTGGCACTAGCATATCGGCGTACATCTCATAGTACCGCATGAAGGGGACTTGAAGAGAAGTTCTTGTATCCGTATAATTTGCAAAGTATGAAGGGTCCTTTGCCCTCTGATCACTCACCGCGGGAGAGCATTTGCCGATGTTTTATTGCACAAACTGCCGATCTTTTGTTTGCTTTTTCAGTATTTCTTATGGTTGAGGCAACATTTGGAAGAGATGGAATAACAAATTTAGTCAACACATAGGCTAGACACTAGCATCAGTTTACGATTAATGTGTGGGTTTGAATTGTAGGTGATGCTCTAGCAGGTCTGGTATCGACCTTGTTTTGATCTGAGGAAGCCGCTCCAAAAGTTTGTAAAGGCATTTAGGTATTTTTGATGCCCCACTCTGTACTGGTTCCCAGACTCCATGAATTCAAGCGCCCTACGAGGCTTGCATCCCACTCCCACCCCTACACCGTAGGAACTCTCAAATGTAGCCGTCTCTTCTACTCCAATAGCTTCATACCTCGCACCTCTCGCCAGTGGAACACCCTCCCCAGTTACTGCTTCCCTGAAGGCTATAATCTCCAACTATTCAAATGTAATGTCAATCGACATCTCCAGTTACCTTTGATTTACCCATATATATATATATATATATATATATATATATATATATATATATATATATATATATATATATATATATATATATATATATATATATATATATATATATATATATATATATATATATATATATATATATATATATATATATATATATATATAAAATGGAAGTGGTTAAAACGTTGCTTTCGATTTCCAAAAATACTGAAAAAGATGAGAATTTCTTCTTGAACAAACATGAAGATTAATATGTCATGGATATATATATATATATATATATATATATATATATATATATATATATATATATATTTATAAATTAATTGATTTCAAATATGTTTTTTTTTTTTTGCTACACAGTTTCAACCATGTTTCAAAAATAGAAGCTAAAATGGAACTAATGCTTTTAATTTAATTGCAAAATTAAATTCGGGGTTTTAGCCTCTATTTTTGAAACATGGTTGAACTGTGTAGCGAAAAAAAACATATATTTTAAATCAATTAATTTATAATATTAATGCTCTGTAAATTTACATTGAGCACTATTTTGTAAAAATAAAAATATCTATAAGAACACCGGATTTTATATCTTACTGTTCTTTCTTTTATTTATATACATACATACATATATATATATATATATATATATATATATATATATATATATATATATATATATATATATAAAAATGCGAATATCACTGTGTCACATTTTTTCAATTTTATTCCAATAGGCTGTCGCTCAGTATATACCATTTTGTAATCAGGCCGACTATGTCAGCAAATTAAAAACATTTCGGGCTGGATCCAGACCAACAATCGTAACATTTGGGATTCCCAAGTTTTCATTATTGCGATTGTTTTTGGATTCCGCCATCTACTGATAAAAACAATTAAAGGAGACAAAACAACAATTAAAGGAGACACAACAACAATTAAAGGAGACACAATAGCTCATGTTCAAATGAAAAAAAAAAAAAATAGTGTTTCGAAATAAAATTGTCCGTATTTTTCAGACCAACTCCTTTAGCAAGTTAAAAACATTCCGGTGCGGATCCGGACCCGCAATCCTGAATTTTGGGATTCCCAAGTTTTCATGACTGGGATTGTTTTTGTCGATTATTTTACGTAATTTTTTACGACAAATTTTTTTGAATGATATCAATTTTTATAACTTTGGTAATAACTGAAATTAATTCCGGAATCCAGCGAAATTCACCCAGGAAATAAAAAAAATAATTGTTAGTAGCGAATTTAAGGACCCACGTACATCAAATTGTCTTTAAATTAAGTGCCAACAGAAGAATTATGATAGCTACACCAGTTTCAAATCGGCAGTTGATCTAAAGAAAATTACCTGTAATGTGTTATAAACTGAGGCAAGAAATGGTTTGTTAATTTTAACAACCCCAAAACGAAACCGCTGTTAAAATTAAATTTGTTTTAAATTATCCAAGAGAACTTTCCTTTTACTTTCATGGCTGATGCCATCCTCCAAGAGAGTTACTCCTTACATTTTCCGCTGATATGAAGTAGAGAGATTATATTGAATCCATTGCCGTGTCTGCTGCTGGGAATGTTGGTTCTTCGATTTCCAATTCCGAGCCGTTATCCCTTACATTACCCACACATCTAAGCTTACAGCACCTGGTACACTTAAGAGGTTGGAAAGCATATGAAAAAAAAAAAAACAGGATTCAGTCGTTTTAAAATAAAAATATAAAAAACAATCATTTGCATTAATAACTGTTCCTTATTAAATTGTGTAGTCTCATCCATAATTCCTTTGTCGCAGATATGCAGGATACAAGAATAGGCTTTTCACTAGTTCTCTGCGCAATTGTCCAATCACTCGTCTAGAATTTCCGGAAACCCTTTATTCAATCAATATGGGAAGATTATTCCGCTTTCTATGGTATTAGTAAAATTAGCCGTTTCTGCACCGGAAATATTCGGGGTACATTGACCGAACCGCATTATTTTCGATTAAAGTTTTACAATTTTCTTTAATTAGAAACAGTTTTTCAAGACATTCGACTTCTTAAGTGTGGTAAAAAAATTTTCTACAAATATTAACCGGCGTTTCCTTCCAAATCTTTTGTTTACAGTGGTGTAGAAAATGAACAGCCTATCGGTTATAGAATGGCGAATTGAGATTAACAATAAATAGAAATCGAAAGAAAAAAATAAATGGCTGATTTTCTTTTTTTAACATCATATTTAATCTTTTAATTGATTCTCGAAATTCTTTTTAAAGTTTGATTTATATTTGTTGTCCTTTAAATCTTTTGTCTTGTTTCGGCGGTTACTGAATGTTGCTAGCCTTGTTTTGGCAAAATGCATTTACTGTTAATCTCGTTCAGAGTAAAATGGAAGGTGAGGTTGCAGCCGAGAGAAAGAAAAGGCCAATGAATTTTCGTGAATGTATCAAAGCCAGGAAATAAACAACGTTTAACAATTTGAATACTATTTAATTACAATTGTAACAATTGGGTGAAAGGGAAAAGGTTTTCTAAGAAGAGTCGATGAGAGTCCGTAAACGGTTTATTGAAATAAGATTTGAGGAAACAAATATCCGTGTATGTGCGAAATTTTGCGCAACATGTTCATGTATGCTGATATTTATATTGTTTGAGTGTATGCGTATGTTTTTAAAGATGAATGTACGCTTACGCCCACATAAAGTTGAAATAACTTTTATCGTATGATCATGAAGTTAAGCAACGTCGGTCTTGACCAGTACCTAGATATGTGACCGCTTGGGTATACAAGGTGCTGAAAGTTTGAATGTACGGGTGGTATAATGGTTACTAACTGGAAATTGTTAATAAGAGAGTTGAGAACCAATTTCTATTGGTTCGATATATTCACTTACTATCAAATACCCCTGGGAAAGGCATGAATCTAACTCTTCTTCCCATAATTATGGGTTCAGAGAGACAAGTAGCGCGTGACATACCTGACGAGTTTGAGACTGTGGATGACAGAACGTGGTCTGGGGAAGGAGGCAGAGGGAAGGAGCTTGCTGAACACCTACGTCCTGAATGCTCATAGCACATAAAAAGAAAAGTAAGACTTGTATCCTGAAACCATTACTATCTCAAAAAATTCTTATAAATATGTTCTAGCTTTTGATAACCTGCAAAGGGCTAAGCCGCAGAAAACGAATCAATCAATTTAAGATCCAAGTAACTCGCTTAGGTGCTATATAATTCTGGTCGACGTAATTGGGGTTTTGAACAAAACTTTTATCTCGTTTTTACTGCTCTGAATGAGTGTCCGAATGCGCCGTGTGTGCTCCTGTATGGTTGCTATATATGTATGTGCTCACTTGGAGGCCCCCGAGTGGCTTTGGATGCGTTCTTATATAGACCGGAGAAATGCTCCAAACGAAAGTCAAAATTTAATATTTTGTGACATCGTTTCGTCATTGGTTAGGAATGGTCACGTGGTGTGCTTACAGTTACATCCGTATCGGACGACGGTAAGTCTGCTTTTACGTGTCTATCTTTAGATATAGGAAATTGGAATTTGAGAATGTCTTCAATTTATTCACTTATGTATGTGTGTTTGTATTTTTTGTGTGTTTGTTCGTGTGTGTGTGTGTGTGTGTGTGTGTGTGTGTGTTTTCGAAGTCCCAACATTGTTCAGTATCTATTTTTTACTTGAAGTTCCTTAATTTCAAAGACATAAGAGAAACGATCTTTTTTTTTTTCTTTCTATTTTTTTTTTTAACTATCTCGACTCTTCAATTTATGTCTAGGATTTGTTGTGTTGTAGTCACCTGCTCTAGCGGCTCAGGCGGGAACAAATGACACCGATAGATAGTTGAAAATCGTTTCCTTTAAGCAAACAGACATGACACAAATAAGAGCAACTTACAGTCCCCCCTTTACACCCCCTGGTTTTCTTAACCTATCATTTTTCTTCAACCCTTACCGAAATGTTCTCTCTCTTTTCTTCTCCGAACCGATTCTTGAGCTATCTATTTTTTTTTCTTTTCTAATCATCAACTTAACACGGACATTTGAATAATAAACAAATATATTTGGCGGAGTCAGCATAGTTTTACACTGTTTGTATTGGCGCCCAGAGACGGTAGTTGACAGTAATAAGAATCCTTAATTTCCGGTCTTGGAGGTAGAAGAAAGGAAAAAAAAAACTGGTAAAAAGAGAAGGCAGAAACGGAAAGAGAACGAGATAAGGAATAATAATAATAATAATAATAATAATAATAATAATAATAATAACTACAAAAAATGAAAGCTAATAAAATAAGGAACAGTAAAATCGGAGGGTAGGAAAAAATGATTAAGATGGAAAGTGGCACATGTATTTACATAGCTCTTTTAGATTTTTAATTCACTGAGAAGGAACAGACTGGGTGAAGGAAGGACATAATTCATTGTTAAAAGAAGACGGGAGAAAAAAAGAGGTTATCTCCCTTTATTTCACTACTGCTGATTTTTCTGGCTTTCAACGCCGGTCACGTGACAATTGTGCATACATGTGCGTATTGTGAACAAAACTATTAGTGAATTGCTTTTTACAAGATCATTGTGTACAACTAAAAGAAATGGTAGCGTATGTAGTGTTGAAATAAAGAATATAGCTATATGGTTTATCTGAACGGGTATTTCCAGTGAGGTCTTCGCAATCACACTAGCAAAGAACTTACACATTCTAAGAATCGGTGATATTCTATGTGTAACGTTCCTTCAGTACGTGAGCGATCATGACTCTCCATAACTGCCTATTCTTTGTAGGTCTTTGCTATTTCTCTTCTTGTTCTTCCATCCATTTACTCAAGCTTGCTAGGTAGAGTAAATTAAACATTTCCTCTGTTCCTCTAGCCTTCAACATATGTTGTGTGTGTTAAACTTTCCAAGCATTCTTTCCTTTGGCTTCTAACTACGATTTATCTCGTGGCTAGCATTCAATATGTTAAAACTGGCGTTTCACAAAATTAGGACGGAAAACTACTAGGCCCAAGCCACTTCCCGAATCTGACCAAATATTATTTTTATTTTTATTTATTTTTTTTTTTCAGTTGGTGGTGGTTGTGGTGGGGGTGATTAAGCCGAAAAGTTTTCTGTAACCCTTTGGATTACAAGGTGAGAGTAAGAGACTTGTAAGAGCGAAAACATAGTTGGTGGGGTTTCCGGAAGGGGAGGAAAAAACATTTTCGAAAATCACGGCTAGAAAATAAAGTGGAACTTGAGGAGGAAGAGCAAGAAAGAAGAAACAAATAAGATCGTACTGCAAAGAATTTGATTAGTAGGAAGCAGACAGGTCGAATGAACACGAGGAGGCTTTAAAAAATATAGAAAGAAACCAGATAACCCAAAAAGGCGCAAAGACAAGGCAAACAGAAGCAAAACCAGAAGTTGAGCACCAAATGGATATCAGATAAAAAGAATGATGACGAATCAATAACGAGTTAGGAGATTGGTATCGCAAGAACACTCATCAAAGTACGAAGAGAACAAGCAGGAAAACATTGGAGACTACTTAAGTTTACTGGTCCACTCGTCAAAAATAAAATCAGGGAAAATCTTTTAGAAGTTTTTTTTATAGATTAGCACTCATTTAGATCTTCCTTTACCCATTTTTCAGAATCGAAAATTTCGGATTTTTTTTTATATTATTATTTTAGCATGGTCTACATAATATAAATACAATGTCAAGCTGGTCACTGACATCTTTAAGAATTATATCTACTTCATTACTTACAAATGCCAAATTTGACATTGGTTTCGTCATTAGTAGCTGCATATTACTGATGTCTTCCATTTTTTTTTACAGCTATTGATGACGTAGGCAAAGTTTACAATGTAAATTAGAAAGTAAACTCTTTAAGTTAGGTAGCGATCGATTTGATACTGTATATTATGAATACAGCTCTTCTCCACTTCTAGAATGATAGAGTCGGAAATATTTTATTATTTATTTATTTTTTATTTATATATATATTTTTTATTTTTATGTATGAATGTATATATGCGTGGCGGAGTGTTTAGAATGTTCGCTTTCTGACTATGAGACCCGGGTTCAAATCTCACTACGGTTGATTTGTCAGGATAGGAGACTTCCTGATGTTATCAAACTGGTGCGGCACCTTTAGAAGCACTGTCTGCAATAGTGATTGGCTAGCCGCTCTAATAAAAGGTATCCTCGAATACGAGTGATCAGTTTTTATTTATTATGTCGCGGGGAAAAGGAAGATCTAATGAATCTTAATCTACCAAAAAATTATTCTGATTTTTTTTTTCAATCAGACCAGTCAAAGTATTGCCAAACATTGAATTACAAAGCTGTAACGGTGACTCTACTAAATAATCTGGAGTCTACTCTAGCTGGACGGTTAACAAGCATCACCCAAACTGATATGACAGCTTTTCTTTTCGTATGGTTCTGAATTGGGAATGAAGCAGGATAAGATGCAATTTTTAAAAAAAAGTTTCATAAATCTCGTTCCGGAGATATTCAAAATGAATGAAAAAAATCCCCAAGCCATATAACAAAAAAAAAAAAAAAAAAAATTATGAATAAGCAATCATCGTGCTGATTTTGTAAAATAATTAAATAAAATTGATTCTACATGAATTTTGAGAAAGTCGAATCTGAAGCCGTGTTGAGGTGAACGTTTGCAATAAAACAGGCATTTTATTATAATCGTAGACTTATATTTTACATTATATATGCCTGGCTAGGGCACCTCGGGGTGGTGTAATGTTTAGCTAGCTTGCCTCGCTAGAACAATTACAACTGAGTAGTGAGTTCGATCCTCATTGGGTGCCCCCTAATTTCGGCCTTGTGCCACATCTAAGCTACGCTTGGAAAATCACGATATGTCTTGCTAATTCCGGCCATTAGGGCTGATAGCAGATAAGGAAAGGAAATTAAAAAAAAAACCTCCTACAGAGAGCGAGAAAAAGGGATTAAACATAAGCTACCAAAAGATAGAATGCATGGTCATCATGCGATTTACAGATCAGGGATAATCAAGTAGATGCGAAAATTTAAATATCTGGAAAGTGTTCTGACAGAAGACATTAAGTGCAACGCTAAGAATAGCATGGACATAACATGTGAGCAACGATGAGGTTTTGGAGAGGATGCAAACAAGGAGAAAGCTTATCATTAACATCAGGAAGAACAGCTGAAATTTCTAGGACAGGTAATGAGAAAGAAGGGCTTGGAGAATGTGATACTCACAGGACGGATAGAAGGAAAGAAGGACAAGTGAGTGGGCTGAAGCAAGTGGATGACGGAACAGGATTTGGGAGAAATAGCAAAAGGGCAAACATATTGAAAGCTACAAGGGATAGGGAAAAGTGGAGAGCCATTGATCGCCTTCGTCCTGAAGGAACACGGCACATAAAAGAAGATGCTCGGTATGGTTATTATACTCAAAGTGTTTCGACAGTTATACTCCCCAAACTTCAAGTATCTGCCGCATATTCTTGGAATTTCGAATCGAACCCCTTTTTTCTATACAATTGGACATATTATTTCGCTTTCCAATATTAACCAGTCTTGTGTTTTTTCGTTGTTTTTTTTTCACTGGAATACAGTAGGAAACATTTCAGCACCACCCGACTTGGTAAAAAAGTGGCTTGAGTTTTAACTAGAGCTTTCATGAACTATCTGGTTTCTTATTAGTTTAGTTCAAAGCCTGGGTCTGGTAGTGATGATGTTGCAAGACCTGACAGTGGTCGACTGAAATAAATGTGAAGATGTCTGAAGTATTAACTGATATGAAACTTTCATTTCCCTGTCAAAATCTGACATTTCGTGTGCTTCGATATCATTATTTCTTGTTCATTAGAAAGATGACACCACGTTCTAAATTTCTAGTGACTCTCCCATCTGTACAACCACCAAAATAACGAGATTTTGTATTTTTCCTCCATTGTTTGCAGTAACATTTCTCCTGTCGACATTTTTGTCATTTTACCAATGCGCTTAATCAAAATACACATTCCCCATATATATATATAGAAATATATATATATATATATGTGTGTGTGTGCGTGCGTGCGCGTGTGTGTAAAGACCTCACGTATAAGAAAATAGTAGTAAACGCATTTGTTTATACGACCGACATATTTTGCACTGCGCATACGCAATAAATTCACTGACTTGGAAAATTTACCGAATTCCTGTTTCCGAACGAATGGCGACCTACCATCACGCAAGCAAACTCTGGCAGAGAAATCGTAGGCAAAATGGCCATCTAAACAGTAACATAATCGCGCATCTGTAAAAAGCTGGAAATCTGCCCACATTCAGTCTTCTGTACAGTCCTCTGTGTCACCCACGTCATGTAAATGTCTACGGCTTAAATCGGAATAACATGTGATTATATAACTATTTAAAAGATCGGCTAAAAGATGCTGAATATATCTGACGTATCATATATCGACATCATGGCGGCTTTCAGCGCTGATTACTATAAAAGATGATAATTTTTTTGATAATGACGATAAAGATGATGATGATTATAATAGTGGTGGTGGTAATGATAATAAGAGTGCTGGGGGTGATGCTATTTATAATAATAATAATTATATTCATGATAATGTTGATAATATTTATAATAGTAATTATGATAATTACAATAATAATGTTAATTTTAGTAATTATATTGATGATTATAATAATGATAGTGGTAATTATGATAATGGAAACAATTATAATAATAATTATTATAATTCTAAAGATTATATATAAAATGCGTTGTAATAACTTGGACCGATTTTAAACTTAATTCAATTTAAAATCGGTCCAAGTTATTGGGACGCTTTTTATATATATATATATATATATATATATATATATATATATATATATATATATATATATATATAAAGTTGAAGATCAGATATGGATAGGAATCCGACAAGATGATAAAATAAAATAAAGAACAATCAGGCAATGTGTCTTAATCTAACACGTTTCATTTTTATTAAAGCTTCGTCAGAGATCAAGATAGAAACAAAAAAACAAAACAAAAGAAACAAAACAAAAAG